AGCCAGGGTGGACGCCACAATACTGCACACATTAACTTTACTTATGGAAGAGTTTCCCAGCAGACTTTGACAAGTAACAGCGGGAGGCGGGAGCTCTAAACTCGCTTTGTGCCCAGCATGCATCATGGTTGACCTACACATTGACTATGCATCAGTGAACTTGACTGTAACCTCGGGTGAAGCAGACACTGTGAACCAAAACAAATGCTACGAGGAGTCATTCATCAGGTCCTTTACTCATAGAACATTAAGATGTCCGGTGATGAAACATGGCATCAACAACACTATGCAACCTCATCTCACTGAGAAACATTCTGTCTCACAGCAGTTTGGACAAACAGCTCCTGCATTAATGCAGAGACCAAATCTGCTTAAGACCCTACAAGCAATAACATCTCATCTCAATTGCGCAATGCAATGACAGAGACAAACAAACACGGTGTTCCCAACAGTCTAATTTGCCTTTGTAATCTTACATCACTTAATGTCCTGACTTCTAGCAATCTGGTTACAAAACAACACAGAAGCTAATACCTCGAGGCTTATCGTTCTGGGTCTTCCACTCCATGTGTTCCCTCTCCAAGCCTCTTCTGCACTGTTATTAAATTATGTCATGTTATGTTGACAGAATTCCAGAGAAAAACTTGACTTTTTTGGTCAGACAGATAAGATGTCATTTCAGACTTGAAATACATTGTTACTATCATGAAAATCGAGAGCCAGTTCTCCTCTTAATAGCAGATGAGTCATGGAACAAACCGTTCTCTTTTCTTGGCTGTCTCTCACGAGCAACACTATTCAGATAAGAAAGCTACAGCTGAAATATCCCGTTTGCAATACACTTGCAATAGAAAAAAGAGGGATACAGTTTATGTCTTATTCAAGGCTTTACAAAACAAGTGAGAATTATGAGACCTAGTTTTATGAGACATAACATAAAGCAATATTTGCAGGCTATCCTTCAATGGCAGTATAATAATGTAAATGTGGCTCATTAGGGGTTACACATGCAGAAACAGTATGCGTGTATTGGTCTGATGTCCCTAAGGGAGATACCCAGCTGACCTACTTTTGGTGAGCAAAATTCTTTACATGTCAAATGGCATGGGCTTTATTCTGCCCAGTATAAAAGATCTAAAAGGGATATAAAAGAACCTTAAACAATACAGGCAAAGCTAAAATCAGGAACAACTAGAGACGTTTGTCAGCATCGATCCACCATTCTGCAATCTGTAAATATTTACTCTGCATTTACGAACTAGGCAGCCATTTGATGACTGATGAATGCTGTAGGAATACCTTACCTATTTACAACTGATGGCTAACTTTGTGCTGCAGCTGAGGCAAAGAAAGGCTTACAGTAACATTCTCTTGATCCACTTAACCAGCTGCAAACAAGCACTCTCCCTCCTCTACTGCAGACAAATAGGATACATTGAAGAGCGTAACGTGTTATAGTCTCTGACAAGGCAATCCTTCCCCATGCATAAGAGACAGTGTTTTTTTCTAGACTGCAAGTAAGGGGCAAGTATAAGGTTTCGCTTTGGGAAGGGAATACAAACAGATGCAAGTAGCATGACAGTGGGTGAGATCTTGCTTATTAGGAGAGACACAGATACAATCAAAAGATTAGAGGATACATACAGAATAGAAGTACAGCCTGTAAGCAGGTTCCTCGTCCTTATCCACCCCTGACATACTTTTGAAGTCCACGTCAGGCAACCTGTTCCCCCTCACAAGCACTGCCACAAGGTGACATCGTCATCTGACGGCAGGACCAAAATAGATTCCCACTGTGTAGTCCACACTGCTATAGCAACTTGCCCAGCTGTGTCAACTCCTCTCCCAGTAGCGATTGAGACAGACAAGTGCTCAGCAGTCTGCCAGTCCTTGTGCTCAGCAGTCTGCCACTTCTTAGGCCTCACTCTCTGCCTGCTGCTGCCACTCTCTTCTGCATGTAGCTTCCTATATTTACAGATTCTCTCCTCAGCTTTCCCTGCCCTCTCTCTCTCTCTCCTTTTCTCTTCTCTCACTCTGCCACAACACTGTGCAGTCATGTGCACACAGCAGGCCTGCCGCTCTACCCCCCACCCTGTGTTGTCAGTGATGAGAGCTATAGCTGCAGGCTCAGAGGCAGTGTGTGCATTAGCCACACAGGGTGATGCTCTGGATCTGATTGGACTCAGCGTCCTATGATTCATGGGCTGCTTAGGGACAACACACAGAAGCCCACATGGTTTGACTGCCTGTAAATAGTACAAACTTTACACAGTCTTAAGAAAGAAGCTACTGATGATGTGACAGTATCATATAAGCACAACAATCCCCTTATGCGTAAGCCTTTTCTCAGCAGTCGCCCCTATGATCATTCAATTCAAATGCCCGAGTGGGTGCTACTAGTTAAAACATGTCAGGACCACCTGGGCGAACACAGCACCTGCGGCAGGTAAGGTCACCATAAAATGCTCTACTCCTGCTGTATCATCCAGCTTGCTGAACCCAAGTATACAGACACTTTAGCTCTAGCTAGCTAGAATTGCCTCGGAATGATTGGCTGTTTTTCATCAGTTAGCAACAAGCTCATATGTCATAACGTACCTTAAGGGCGGATATGGACGTATTCTTGCTTTTTCCTCCTCCATGCGAGGACCCGGAGCTGTTGCTTCCAGACCTCTCCCTCCCGTCCCCACCTTGGCTGTTTCTCGGGCCGAGACGGTGCTGCCCAGCGCCACGCCGTCGTCCGTCATGGCGGTTGTCTTTGGACATCGACCCGGGTATGTTCAACGTTCAGTCGTGGGAAAAACAAGTCTATGGACACGGTTTTCTTGTTGTCAGATTGATGGAAAAAACATGTCAGCTAAAAACATGACAGTGGGGAGGACAACCTAACAATAAAAGCAGGAAGTATGTTAAATTGACATTTTTGACTGACGATGGGATCATCCAATGAAATCTCAAGAACGTCGTCACAACATATACTCCAGCCAATCACGTACTGTATAGTTCAGGTCAAGGGCGGGACTTCTTCCTGTCTACCATAGCAACCATACGATCGGGCGGGACGTTTGGTTGAGTCCTCAGTGTGAGTCAAGCAAACCAGAAGAGAAGTAAAGCTGCCTTCAAAATAAAAGCCTAACACATTGACCTATTTTAAGCAATTTATGGTGTTTTTTTTATATTTCTCTTTGTGTGTCTATTTATTCACCTATATAAATAGACTGTTTTTCTTAGTTTAGCTGTATGTCTATCTTGCTTCTTCAGCAACACCTGTCAAAAGTAAAAGTCTACTTTTGTAGTAATTAAAGTAAACTCTAGGGCTAACAAGGGATTGTGGCCTATATCAAGTAATCTGAAATCATGATGACCTTTGTTGTTCTTTGTCGCACAAGTGTTGCAGGAGTTTTTAACGTTTTCAGACTTTTTACCCTCTCCATTCACTTTGAAAATAGCATAGGTAGGACCTGGGCCAGGAACTGATAGATAGATAGATAGATAGATAGATAGATAGATAGATAGATAGATAGATAGATAGATAGATAGTACTTTATTGATCCCAAATTGGGAAATTGTTGTTGTTACAGCAGCATAAAAGGCATTTTACAATAAAACAAAACTACAAAATATACAAGAATAGAAAGTAAAATAAAATATAAAATATACATGCAGATGTTATATATAAAAATATATATATATATATTCGAAATATATGACATTATGGAATATGGAGTATAAATATTGAACAGATTATATGAGTAAAATGTACAACGTGGTTTAATTTCTAGAGAAACTATGGAGCAGAGAGTTCTCTTCCAGCCAGAGGTGATTTATTGTACAGTATTATTGCAGTGGGCAGGAATGTTTTCCAGTATCTGTCCTTGTGACAGGGGAGCTGCAGCAGTCTGTTGGAGAAGGAGCTCCGTTGACTGTCCAGCTGCAGGTGGAGAGGCTGGGTGGGGTTATCCATGATGGACAACAGCCTGTTCAGTGTCCTCCTCTCCACCACAGCTTCAAAAGGGTCCAGCTTGATGCCGATGACTGACCCAGCTTTCCTGATCAGTTTATTGATCCTGCTGGTGTCACCGTCTCTTATGCTGCCCCCCCAGCAGACCGCAGCAAAGAAGCCACTAGCCACCACAGACTGATAGAAGATCTCCAGCATCTTGCTGCATACGTTGAAGGATCTCAGCTTCCTCAGAAAATAGAGTCGGCTCATCCCCTTCTTGTACACAGCGTCAGTGTTGATCCTCCAGTTCAGCCCATTGTCTAAGTGCACTCCCAGGTACTTGTAGACCTCCACAACTGCCACATCCTCTCCTAGAATGCACAGGGGCAGAGGAGGAGATGTCCTCTTCCTCCTGAAATCAATGACCATCTCTCTGGTCTTGGCCACATTCAGAAGCAGATGATTTCCACCAGTCCACTCAACAAAATCACCCACCAGCGCTCTGTACTCCTCCTCCCGTCCATCCCTTATACAGCCTACCACTGCAGAGTCATCCGAAAACTTCTGCAGGTGGCATGACTCTGAGTTGTATTGAAAGTCAGAGGTGTATAAGGTGAACAGGAAAGGAGACAGCACAGTCCCCTGTAGGGCTCCAATACTACCAACCACCACATCAGACAGCACAGAAAAGTGAGGCCAAATTAATTAACATACAAGGCCGGTCGACGGTCGACCAGACTCAGATCTATATGTATACTAATTACTAAATGTGCAAAGTATATATTTTACCTGTGTTAAATCAATTACCAATACCACTTTTGGGGAGGTGGATATCTGACTGAAAACATATTTTAGAGAACAAGATGCTAAGGAAAAACACATCCATCTAGTAACTTTATAAATGTCTCAGTTTGCGGATAAATATTTGTTTTTGGGAAACTCACCCAACACTCATAGCTAATATCTTTGTTTACACGAATTGCTTCCATAACAGTTAGACATGCGCCGAATATAAAACTTTATTTTGAAATATGTGACCGGAAGTAGCCGTATCTTCCTGTAAATAACACTGGTGTGATGATAGCTATTTGGACTTTTCACGGTAATGACAACATCTCCAACATTATTGTTCAGCTTTGTCGCAGTTACTATTTAACTGGCTTGTGTGCCTTGTGTATATATGTTTGGTTAACGCGGCTAATTTTGTCTCTGGTTGTCCCTGTATATCTCTTCTCTCATTCTCTCTCGTACACATTAAGAATGAACAACAATGTTTAAAACTAGGCTACTGTAGACAAGAACTCGTAGTTCTAACAGCCTTAAGGCCGGTTTGCCCCCCTATTTCCTCACTGAATACGGACTTGTTTCTGCTAAATTAAACAGGTTTCATCTGAACAAGAGGCTCACACACAAAGTTTACTTTGTTTGTGTGAACTTTCACCAGCTGACCGCAAGGTCGCACACTTGCACCATAGCAAGCATAGCATAGCTCTTAGTTTCCCTGTTAATGAATCATTTTAACAAGAAAACTACCTGGAAGCTAATTAATAGCACTTTGTTGTGTTTTCAATATATTCACCCCTTTTGTTTTATATTTATAATTGTGATAACCCTTTGAATAGATGGCATCCTTTGCATTGCTGGGACTGCTGGTACTTCAGTTTGGATTTGGACAAAGCTCTCTTAAACATCTCCACGAAGATCATTTTGTTGGCCAGCAGCACAACCCTGAACATGACATGAACGTCCTGCTGGGAGAGGTTTCTAAATATTTGCCACTTATTTTTATTACAATCTTGAGATATTTTCTAATCTTCATTCAGAAACTGCTCACTTTCCTCTCAATATACTTCGTACACTTCTAGGACACTGAGGAGATACTGAAACTTAGCCCAGAGGAACAGAGGAAAAAGATGATGGAAATTGTGAAGCGGATTGATACAAATGCTGACAATGTGCTAGATCCAGGTACATTTATTTCTCTGAACCTTTGAAAAGCAAGCAAAGATAAAAAGAGGAAGTGAAAAGTAATGTTAAGTATTTTGTGTTTTTATCACCAGAGGAGATGACGCTATGGATTCAGCACGTCTATAGAAAGTATGCTCTAGAAGATGCAAAGGAGCGGTTCCCTGAGTTTGACAGTGACAAAGATGGTGTTGTAACATGGGAGGAATACAACACTGTTGCTCATGGCCAGCTCATCAGTTTTGATGACAGCGATGTTCTGCAGGACCCAGAGCAAGAGTCTCTCAGACACGTAGGTGTAGTTTTATTGTCCTGTTAATAATCACATTAAACCACAATCAGGTTTATCCATAATACTTAAACATATGCACATATCCCCATTAGCTCCACTTGAAGGAGAGGAGGCGCTTTGACTTTGCTGATGTGGACGGCACACCCGGGCTTAATGTGACAGAGTTTCTTGCCTTCACCCATCCCTCTGAAGTGGATCACATGGCTGTAAAATGAGTTTACCTGCATCACCTGATATGATAATGCATTTTCCCACCCACCCATTACAAGAGCTCTGTTCATTTCTCCTGTTACAATTTAATAATGTATATTATTTCCTAATAGGATTTTGCCATTGAAGATGTGTTGAGTGAATATGACACAGATAAAGATGGACTTATCAGTCTGAGTGAATTTATTGGAGATGTTCGAGGTGATGGTAAGACTACAGAGATGTATTTGTTGTTTCCTTTGCTATGCCCAATCATAATCCTAGTGCAATATAAACACTTATTTTTTTTTCATCAGAGGATTCCCCTTCACAGTGGGAGATAGAAGAAACAGTGCGGTTTAAAGACCTCTATGATCAAGATAAGGATGGCAAGTTGAATCGAGACGAGCAGCTCCGCTGGGTTGCGCCTAACAGCTACGGCTCAGCAAGAGAAGAGGTAACACTCAACTGTTCAAATATGTTCCCAGATTTTGATTGCATAATTGCTAAACATTTAAACAACATTTAAATACATGGGCAAATAATGCTCCTGTTGCTACTGCTTGGTAGGATTACATATAGTTTATTTTGTCTTCATGTCATCGACAGGCTCTACACCTCATCAAGGAAATGGATCAAGATGGAGATGGGAGGATCTCAGAAGCAGAAGTTTTGAAAAATCAAGAAATATTCATGAACAGTGAAGTGACAGACTATGGCAGACAGCTGCATGTCTCACACGATGAACTATAACTAAATGTAATGTTCTTGTTTTTTTCAAATGAAGGTGTTACGTGGTTTATTTCCGGTACTGATATTAGTCATGGAATTTACACCATTGTAGATCTTACCCATCGACATTGCTCTATTAAGTTGTGTGGACAAAATAACAGGAAAAACATACATTGCAACACAAGTATAATACATCACTGAGGCCAGTTGCACATCTCTAGAATATTTCAGGAACATCTAAACATCGGAAGCTTCACAACATATAATGTGTTGCAGGGCCTTTATATTGTAAGCTATTCCTGTTGTTTTGTCCAATATAAATGCACATATTCCTGAATAGCAGGGAGGTTTAACTCATAATATGATTGTAACCACTCTTTAAGGACAACACAATTGAGTTTGTTTCAATTACACTAATGCAATTGGTTTGTTTAATAGTGGCTGTGTATTATTAGTTTTCCTTTCAAAGGTGCCAAAATTGAACTGACACAAGTATCAGTCCAGTTGCGGTTAACGCTAACGTGTTGCAACTCTTCCTCATTTGAATCAAATGAGCGAGTTAGTAAGTGTTGCTGTTGAATACTGGTTTCCTGCATGTGTCATATTCCGTTTCACTTCCATCGAGCAACAGCCTGTTAAACTGCCAAGCTTTATAAAGTGAGTTAAGTGGATTCTCCAACCAGGACTTTTTTTGACCACAGCCAAGATGACAGTACAATTTAAAGATGCCTTCTGGGTGAGTCAGTGTGATGATACTATTCCATACTTCTTTATGTTTCTCTTCAGTGCTCAAGTTGACCATGAGTCTTTCTAAGCTGTGAAGTTAGGGTTGTTGTATTTGATTTGTTCACTGGAGTTTCAAGGTTATATTGTGTAATTTTCCACTTCTACCCTGTTAAGGTTTTTAATTTAGTCTAGAGAGTGTTTAAGGATCAATACACTTGTAATCTTATACCATATTGACTACAGTTAGGTTAGCGCTCTGTCCTGTCTTGTGACTTTTAACCTACTTTGCTTACTTTACTTTTCAAATTTTGAAACTAACTGAACTGCAACTGATTTGTTACTTGATTAAAACATTTATTATTATTTCTTTATGTGCGGATTCTTGATAAGCCAAATGATAATTTTTACCTCTGGGTTGTGTACAGTGTGTATATAGAAACCAGGTGTGTCCCACAAACCAAACAGCTCTTTCTCAGAACAACCTTTTTAAATAGTGTTATGGTGGTAACCCTGTCTGCTGTATAATTATTGAAGGTTTCCTGTTACTCGTGCCTACTTATTCTCCCTTATTAGCCTCTGACTGCCTTTTCAGAACCGCACTGAGTGTGTGTGCAACAATGTAACAGACCAGAATTCAAAGCGTGCATGTAACTTACACATTATATTCATTTCCAACCATATCAATATGCAGAGCATCAGGTACTGTACTGGCCTGTGGGGAACAAAAGTATTCAGTTTACATTGTAAAGTTTGTGCTTCCCTTTTTTTTTTTATTCCTATGCTGCTATCAGTAGTCTCATATTCAATCTGACCCCACCACAATATAAATGTAAATAAGAACTTTCACATGTGTTCAGCATTGTATGAATACTGGAGTCGTTTTGGTTACTTCTTCTGTGCGGCTCTTCATTCAAACCCCAGCAACAGCGTGTTACTATTCAATTTTGTTTTGGTATACCACCACAATACCTAAAAGTTAAACATCTCAAACGTCATTATGGTAAAAACTTGCGGTTGAGAAGCTTTTAATCATCAAGTATTGCCCAGAGTTGATGATTTCATTCTTTTAATGAGCAATGAAGAAACTTACATCTTACACAAAACGTGTTTTTATTAACATAATTCGTTTTTTTAACCTTTATTCCCAAATCTTACATGATGTGTGGTTTTCCCCATGTTCCTGTATCACTGAAAGAGCATTATGGTTTATATGGTTCCAGGGAGTGGACTTCATCAGTAATATTGGGTATGAGACGATAAGTCAGAGACTAAATGATGGTCGACGGACATGCAAAGACATGGAGGAGCTCTTGAAAATGAGGTGTGTTTTGCATTTCTGATGTACTTGATGAATCATTAAATAGACATCACTAAAATGTGGTTCAGCTCTAATATGGTTTTTTCCATGTAGGGCATCAGCAGAGGAGAAATATGGCAAGGAACTAGTCACAATTGCACGCAAAGCTGGGGGTTTATATGAGATCTGGTAGGTGTGTGTGCATTTAAGCACTGCTATATTCATCAGTATGTCTAAGTCTACCTTTCTTAACTACACAGTGCAGAAAATATTTCATGAGAAAATGCATTCACTTGTATTCTGCCTCATTTTGTTTTCACAGCACTTTGAGAAAATCTTTTGATGAAATGAAAATACGTAAGAACAAAATAGATTTCCTTTTTTATTTTTTATTTCCACCTTATATATGTCTGTGTTTCAACTTTTATCTTCCGTGTTTTTCAGAAATGGAAAATGTAGGGAACTTGCACATTCAGCTTTCTGGTTTACTAAAGGACGAGGTGAAGAGAATGGAGCAGTTCAGAGAAAGACAGAAAGAACACCGGAAAAAGGTACCCGCATGAAGCCTTTTTTTCTCTTTTGCATGCAGAGGAAGTCTAAAAACAGTTGCTTCTCTCAGTGTGGTGTCTGATGCTGTATTGGTGGTAACATTATGTTTTTCAATTTTTAGTATGAAGTCATCATGGAGAAGGACCAGAAGACAAAAGTCTCCATCTACAAGAAAGCAATAGATGTACGGTCAATTTATATTATCATGATGATCTGTATGACGTGTGGTTACAGTTCTGCAGAGATTTAAGATTATACTGTACTGTATGTACAAGGTATTCTAAAAAGACCTCAGTACTGTTTTAGAAGATTATGGTTTTGCAAGATAATAGCTAGAAGCCAGTCACAACACATTGGTGTGATAGGCACATGAGCTTACACTTCTCCCTACTCAAAAGAAAGAAGTGAAGTCTTTTTTGATGCACTCATTGTCTTGACTATACTTACCCCCCTAGCCCCTCCTTTTCCTGTCAATGCTTCAAAGAACCAAGCTTTAATGGTTTTCATGGTTTCTGTTCTGTTTCCCCTAGTCTAAAAGGTCCTATGAGCAGCGCTGCAAGGAAGCAGATGAGGCACAGTTTACAGCTGAGAAGTTGGGCAACACTCCCACAGCCACTCCCAAACAGATCGAGAAGGTAAATCTGTCATAAAACGTCCAGTGCACGAAAATATAGACTTGACTTTATGAAAGCGTTGGTGCTGTTGCCTATCTTTAAAAATATATCACACCAGTATATCTTTATTGATCCTAGACATGTTTTAAGATATGTAATACTGCTCTGCTTTGAATTATAATCTGACTGTTTTTCCACAAAATGTAGAATTTCTCAGATTAAAGCCATCTAGATGAATTCAAAATTACAACTACTTGACACACGATGTTTAATACTTGAGTGAGTTGTCTAGTAATACACAAATACACTTCTTAAACTAAGAATTAAAGTGAACACAGTGGTACTCTAAACAGACTACCTTCATTAATACATTATTCTTCATTGAAAGTCAAACATCTGACTAAAGTAACAAAAGGAACCTCTCAGTGTTTGCCTTTTTCACACAAGAGCAGGCTCTTCAATTTTAACTACTCAACAAATGTAACTATTCAAGTCTGTCGATTATTTAATGTTCAGGGAAATATAAATAAGAAAATGTAGTAATCATATTGTATAACACAACAGTATGTGTATGCTTTTTCTTTTCATCGTCAGTGTCCCATGAGAGTTTACGCAGCATCTCATTTACAAAGAATATTAAGAAATGGCAACATTGAATGTAAATGTATTTTATTTTTTACAATAAAAAAAGGATGAATATCCAAAATGACTTGCTGTTGTTGGAAACCAGATACATATTTTCTCAAGCTGCTGTTATCTACAGTTATTTTAAACGATGATAGATTGGAAAATTATCTTTGCCTTTGACTCCATTATTAAATATAGTAATTTATAAGCTGTGAGTGTCTATCAAAGCCCTGATCCAATTGTTCCCTTTTATAGGGAAAACTACATGTTTACACATATAAAGACAATGCGTCATTTTGTATTCGCTTTATTTTTCAGATGAACAACAAGTCTAAACAGTGCAGGGAAGCTGCAGAAGAGGCTGGTAAGTTGACATGTCAAAACGTTGAGATGCAGTCCTAGGAAACCGCTATGGTTTACCAGAAACATATTTATAAAATGTGTGGTTGCATTAACTTCCCGTTTATTTTAGGATTTCAAAGATACACTTGGGTGCACTTTATAAACTAAACCTGAGAGTTGATTAAAGTATGATCTATATATCTTTGGAGTGATCCTCTTTTTTCTTCTTGTATTTTTAACAATTAAATATGTTCTTGTCTTAAGAGAAACAGTACATGTCAAACATTGAACAGCTTGACAAGACTCGACTGGAGTGGGATACAACACACATCAACACATGTGAGGTTAGTACAGCACCACAATCTGAATTTCCCCCATCACGTTATGTATAAAGCTTGGTGCATTTCAAAATGTACGGATTTATACCAAGATTGGCATACCCCAGGCTTGTTTTGTCAATGAGGATGTGCAGGAGTACTTCCTATAAGCAAACTAGAAAGTGAGTCACCATTCTACAAAATTGTTTCCTGGGGAACAAAGTCTTCCTACGTGTGATAACATCAACAGAGCTTCTTTAATCATTCAAATAGGTCAATTGTAGGAGGCGCATGCACACGTTAAATCAGTAAACTAAAGGAAATACATTTCAAACAATACATAAACTAATACCTTTCAACTATGAAGCATTCAAACGCATTTAAATGAAAGCCATGAACCTTTAAGTTGACAGATCACACAGTGACTAAGGTTGCTGGTGGCTGTTGTTGTGCAGGAAGTTATCAGTTGCATCAATATATTCATAAAGCAGTGTGTAGTGTTGTAAATGTACTGTGCTGCAATTCTTTATAGATGATTTATTATTTTCCCAATGGCACTCTTTTGCAGGTGTTTCAGCAGCAGGAAGAAGACCGCATCAGTGTACTGAGGAACGCTCTGTGGGTGCACTGTAACCAGTTATCAATGCAGTGTGTGAAAGATGATGAGGTGTGTGCAGCTGTTCCTGCACGTTTAAATAGGATAGACTTTCAGTAAACTTCCAATATTCTGTACTGTGTGTTTAAATTAACTCTAGACAAACTTCTCTTTCAGTGCTATGATAATGTGAGGACATCACTGGAAAATTGTGACATCATCGCAGACAACAGCTGCTTTGTGGAGATGAAGCACACTGGCTCGACTGCCTCAGGTAGGATCACGCCCTGGCAGCTTCCCTGATTTGGATTTGAATGTTGGACATTTTAATATTATCTCTCAGTTGCTGCTTAAACGTACAACAGAATGTTCAAACTTTTGGAAACAGGTGATGGACTGTGTGTAAAAGGGCAATGCCGCTGAAGCATTAGTATTTTATGAATTTACTGAATTTGAATTTTTTACAGCACCTATTGAATACCAAAATTACTACAAGAAAGAAGATACAGGAGAGAGTAACGGCACTGCTGGATTCGTAGGAGTGATAAAAAGGTCAGAAATAACTCCAAATGAATGTTGATGATAGATAATGAAGATGGTTATTTCTAAATTATTTGTCTATATTTCTTACCGAATACTTTCCCCAATTTGTAGGTTTTCAAATCTTCTGCAGTCAAACTGTTCCAGTGGCTCCAAACTGAGCATCAATGAACCTACTGGTAAAGTACTAAAGTCATTCAAATAACACTGACATTTCAAAATGACAGATTGTGTAAGGCGCAAGATCATGGCAACACAGGGTGTGGAACATTTATAAGTTTCATGATTTGGTTATACATTTTTTTCTTCACACCAGTGACTCACAACCAGGGTCCTTGTACTCCAGGCGGACTATGCACGCCAAAGAGCTTTCCATCGAACACGAAAACACTAAATAACATCACACAATAATAAAATAACATTAAAAACAAGGATTACATCTTTAAAATCACGACTATTTCAAATTCAAATCTAGATAAAAAATGTATTTAATTTCCAATTGAAAATAATACAGAGAGAGCTTTCTATACTACAATCTAGAGGCAGTAAGTCTCAGTTTGTGTGCATAAAAACAGAAGGCACTCTCACCAAGACAAATTTCAGGGACTCATAAGGAGCATTTTAAAGAAGGGCAGTGGAGGACCTTAGTGATCTGGCTGAAAGAAAAGAAAATGAAAGAACATAACTGATCAAGGAGCAAGGTCATTAAAGGCTAGAAAAGGGTACTTGAGTTTAAGGCTTTGGGGGTACATTGGACCATAAAGAGATTGGGAACCACAGCTTTGCCCCACCACCAACAATAAGCAATATGTTCGGTCTGATTTAACTTCATATTATCAGTTTATTCACTGGTTTGAGTATAAAGTTGCTATTCACGGTAAGTAAACCGGTGCTGATTAGGTCTTAAATCTTGTTAAACTCCTCAGCAGAAACATCTGATGGAGTATACGCCTCCATTCCTGGAAGTCAGGTGCCCCAGCCGAGCAGTGAGGGGTTCAAGGTCGTGTACGACTATGAGGCGCAGGTCAGCTTCTACAGGAGCCACATTCAAATGTAATGATTCTTGTTTAATTTAAGGGATATCTTTTTGATTGAATGTTTGTGTGTTTGTTCAGGGGGACGATGAGCTCTCTGTGTCTGTCGGCGACGTGGTGGTGGTCATGGATCAAGGTGAAGATGGCTGGTGGAGAGTGAAAAGGAATGGAGTTACTGGATTGGTCCCAGGCACGTATCTTGCTAAAGAATAAGTTAACCTGAAGCTTCATGGAGGATTTTTAAGACTTTTAAATGTCCTCATGTTATATATTGTAAAGGCCTTGTCTTTTCAAATAACGTTATAGTTTGATCTTATCTGTTGTTCTTGTTTGTTTTGCAAGCATCATTTAAATGCGGAAGCCCTGAGAGGCTGGTGAGCAAAAGTAAATGGCGATTAATTTGCTAAGTCTTATCTCAAATACCTTTCTCCCCTGTGTTTATGACTTAAGAACTAGGAAATGTTTTATTGGAAGGGTAATCTTTCTATGTTGCAAAAAAAAAGTTATTCTGGGAAACAGATGTCAGCATAATTAGTTTTTGGAGAGTCAAAATACATGTTGAATATATTGTGTTTTAGCAAGTTAAGTACCATCATGTGTTTCTTGGCTGGACATGTACTTTAATCTTCTCAAATCAGATGGTTTGAATTATGAGTGGTGCACTTCAGCCTCTTGTGGTCAGAATAAGTATTAAAACAAGTTAGTTTAAGAAAATATTGTTTTCACCTGGCAAAATATTTTTTTTATTTTTACTTGCCTCAAGGTTTTCAAATTAAAGCCTATATGAGTAGGATTTGAAAAATGTCCAACTATAGCACCCCTGGAAGAATCATAAAATACACCGTGGCAGAGTGACCCTGATAGCATGTGAATGAACAGCTGACTGTAGCAGTTTTGACTTTCTTATGAACCCTATGTCTTTAGATCATTTGAGCTGTCACATAACAATCTTACAGAAAGGAAATGTCACAAAGTAGCATGAGACAGTGTTGAAAGATGAATTATTTATTGCTATGGCACATATTCATATTACTTTGCCCTTACTGCTGGTCTGTTGAGAGCCCGTCATACCAAGGACAGCTGGAGATGAAGTGATCTGTTGCACAAGGTCACTGCACTTAGTTTATTAATATACTGTGGTATTCTCGTCAGTCCTAAATATTAAGCAGAATGTTAGATTTCTCTTGTTGGCATGTATATATTTCCTGTGTGTAGTTATTTTTTCTATTCTGAATGTTAAAGAGAATAATTGTTTGAAAATGGGATTTCCTTTGTATTTATTCAATATGAAAGACACGTTTATTTTTTACACATGGTTAACATTGATTTTAGTCTGAGCTGAATAAGAACTATTTTGCATTATTGCTTTATTTTTTAAGATAAGTTTAATTTGGATTAGAAAAGCAGTAGACCAAAACCATATATATAAAACAGCTGAATGTAACCAGGCACTATTGTTAGATCAGGTGGCTGAGTTATCAGCTCTATTTGGTTTTAACATATCTGGTTACTCTGGTAAGGGTGATACATTACAAACAGTGTCTATCAATAAAACAAAGACAAGTCTATTCAATAACAGTTAAGTGTGCATGAAGGTCAACAATGTTTTGTTGGTGGTAACAAGATGTTCTGAAAGCAGATACAACTTAATTTAGTGATTTAAGCTTATATATAATATGCACGAGTTATATTTTGAGCCCCTTGTAACCTACAGTAGAACCTCATTTGAAGACATAGTTACAAAACATAAAATATTTAACTCGGACCAAAACCTCACTAAAAAAGGGAATCTTTTCCATCTTCCACCCCTCCCTCCTGGGAAACCCCTGAACTTTGACCTCTCTTCTCTGGGATCAAGTTGACTCGTTCTTCCAATGACAGCAGCCAGTGAATGTGAGCTTTGTCTTGACAGAAATAATTAAAATAACCCATTTGGTGTAGTAATTTCATATCTTTGTAAATATTTGAATTGATTTCAGAGAAATCCAAACATGAAGTCAGTAAATGCACATCAAAATGTCTAACTTTTCCAACATTTTATTTACATTCTTGAGTCTCGCTATTGTTCCAGATCAGCAAATCAAATTCTAAAACTACCTTCAGTGGACTGTGGAGAAAAAACAAACAGCTGTAGGACAAAGTTCAACTTGAGTTAAGAAGACATTACTAAAAATCCCAAATGTTGATGGGGAAAAAGCCATTAAGCTACATGCACACATTTGCGACTGACTTGGGCTGTTGAGGTGATTTCTTCTTGACAGTAAACTGCAGGTAAAAGTTGAGGTTTCAACTAAACTGAGCTATAATAGACGTAGAACAGTAGTAATCGTGGAGGTAAACTTATTTAATTCAAATGTCATTTAAGTACAGGATAGGTTGAAATATAAAATATTGTAAGCCATTCACATAGTGCAAACTAACATGAGGATATGACACTGTCCACATTTTACTCCATACATTGTATACAATAAAGGTGTTATGCCCTTGTGCCATCCTCAGAGCAACAGATTGCTTTCTACATCTCATTTACTGTGACCATTAAATAATTTGGTCTATAGCTTTTTTTGGAAAAACAGGTAAAATATGTAACCTAAGTGTGGTTGGTGATTAGGGTTAGTTTTGTAATAGATTGTTTGTATGCTGTCACCAAAGACACATGTTTATTCTGAAAGTGATTGTTATGGAGAGAAATGTGTTTTCCTTCATGCATAGGTGCCCCCAGTAATAAGAAGCTCATACGCAGGATCTCTGCTTCTGCGGCAGAGCACGACACCGGCACACAACATCCCCAGCATCTAGAAGTAAGAGAAAGACAACTTATTAGGGGTTTACAAATCTTCTTTTTTACTGATCAGTTACAACGCTTCAGAAATATTAGGGGCTCGTGGAGTCTCACCGTAGTTGTGTTACTCAAGCTATTTTGTTTGGAATCAATAATATAAAAACACCAATAGTGAGACGGAAAAAAGAAAAGAAGCGGAATAAGAAACTGTCAAACATTTTGGGAAATAAACTCCTTGCTTTCCTGCTGAGAGATAGACCAATTCCACTCATGGTTGAATGGTAAATATGTAGATGGAGTCAGGAGACTGTTAGCTTAGTATGGACAAAAAAAACTAGAAAGACATAAGCTTTATGCTAAGCTAAATTTAGGCGGCTGGCTGTAGCCTTATATTATTCAGACAATCTTGAGGGTAATATTGATCTTCTCAGGCAAGTAGAATTGTTAATGTTTTTTTTTGTTTTTTTAAATCATACTGAAAGTACCTTTGTTTTAAAACACAATGATAATGCTGCTGACATTAATCAAATGTTTTCACTACTTAAAACGCAGAGCCTGTTAGTCAAGGTCCAATAGATTTAAATCAATATGGCAAAGGTCCAGTAAATAAAAATACAGATTCTACAGAGAGCTGGCGAAGTCGTATAAAAAGGGACATACCTGGATGGTAGCAAATGTCAGAGCAGTCCAGATGACATACATCATGATCTCCTCCATCTTCTTCACAACCAGAGCTTCACATCCCTACACACACAGAATAAGTTCAAATATACAAAACTATAGCAACAGACTCCTCTTTAAAGTAAGAAGTGTTTGGTATAAAAAAAAAATGTGACGCATGTAAAGGTTGTTTTACTTGTTGGTAGAGATCTGCATGGCGAGTGAGGGACCCCGTGCAGCTTACAACGTTATTTTTGCAACAGCTGATGGGTACGCTGTTGTTTTTGGATTCTTTATACCACTGTGTATTCTGCCAGTCTGAGTAATTGTGGATGCCACAACACTGAAGCTGTAAAAATGCAAACAATGGAAAAATTACTGTCAAATACTTGCTTACTAAGGATAAGACTAAAAGAAATAAACAACAATAGTATCATTATATCCGACTCACCTGTCTCTGAATGTAGTCGATGGCACGGCTCTGGGCATTGCTGTTGGTGCCATTGTACTCATCGTACACTTTCTTGATAGAAACATTAACTTCATGTTCAACCTGCCAATGGTTAAGAAGGGTGAGACATTTGATGACACATCTCACATACGAACATGATTGTAAACACAGGCAGATAAGATAATGTTATCCACAGTTTTTCCTTCCCTAAAGGGTGGACTATTTGATATAAATGCAGTCCATTTAGCTGGAAGACTTACGGGGTTACAAATAAAGCCAAGAAAAACAAACAAGTGCCGTCTTGTTTTTTTACTTTCTCACCTTTGCTCTGTAAACATATCCGAGAACCACCACTGCCACTTCCGTCAAGAAAACCAGCAGGAGAATGACAACAAACTGTGGATTGAATTTCAAAATGTGAGACAACAGACACTTACTGTACATGCATACAAGTAAAAAAGTAAAAAGAGGGTTGTCATATCCTTTGGCATGTTCAAGTTATACAGAATACAACCACTAACGACTTACTCTATGTAAAATAACACAAAGCAATTTTCAGGTTTTACATGTTTATGCCTTGTTTTAATGCATCCTTAAGCCCCACTCTTCTCTTCATTATGTTTCAAAGTTTATCTTTGATTACTCATCAATACTTAAATGCTTTAGTATCCCAATCTACCATGCTAAACCTATAAACTAATTAACTAACCGTTGTAAGACCACAGTAGCTCTCTCTCACTGTAGCGCAGCATCCAATGAGCCCAATAATGAAAAGGAGGGCTCCAACTGCTATAATGGTCACTGCTGGGATGAGGGTGTACACATCTTCAAAGAAGTGATCGTAGTCATCAAAAGTAACGAAAACATAGGCTCCAACATAGCACAGGATACCAGCGGCAGCCTGAGGGTGAAATAAACATCAACATTTCATTAAGTGATTGGTTTCTGAATGCATATTGTTTGTTTGTCAGAATCTAACATTCAGCAGCATACCATAGGCCTTTATCATTACAGACATAACACTTATCCTCAGTGGTGGAAAGTAACCTAGTACACAATTCTACCCGAGTACAAACTTTAGGTACTTGTACTTTATTTGAAGATTTCCACTTTATGCAAAACATTTGCATATGATTTTAGAGGGATTTATTTAAAATTAGTTGTATTGTTGTATTCATAATTGAAATATGCAAAGTTACTATAGTAAGGTACGTTTATTTATATAGCACATTTTCAGACACAGAGGCAATTCAAAGTGCTTTACATCAACATTAAGATACAATAGTTAAGAGAGAAGACAAAAGAAAGAAACACAATAAATTAAACTAGTAACTAAACATTTCAAATAAACATAGTACATTATTGCATCCAAAATGTAGAGGAGTTGAGTAAGTATCCTAAAATGGAAATACTCAAGTAAAGTATCCTAGAGACCCAGCCATTCATTTTTGTCCTCTGTGGAGAACATTGGGTTTTGGTCCATTACTTTGAGGTTATACATGCCATAGCATTAAGTCCAATTGTACTCCACAGAGCACATCCTGGGCTTTTCAAACATATGACATATGTGGGGGTGTGGCTTTGAAAAAGATAATTTCATTGTATTTCAAAATGGCGTCCATCAACACAAGCACTATTTATAGAAAGAGAAATGGTAAGTTTGTAATTTTGTAATTACCAGTGTTGTGAGTTCAATCTTTTAATTAATTATAGTAAGGGAACATCTTAGGAGTTAGTGTAGTGAGTTTTCAGAGCAGTGTAATAATTATTTGAGCTAAAACTAAATGTTTTTATGAATGTCCTCTGAGGAGGGCATGGGGATTTGCTAACTTTTTATTTCCCCCATTTTACACAACACAAATGGAGTCCACTATGGGCCAAAACTAACACTTAGGTTTCTGTAGGGTTCATGGCAGACGGATGCAGTGGGAAAACATACATCAAGTGCCTCAAGTGTCAGATGTATCTCTGCATTTCAAAAAAGGATGGAGTACTACCAATGAGGGCTCAATATGTGTTGCATTGAGTTGTTGTGCTCTAATGTTGTCTAAATGTACTTGTATGTTAATGTTGTTTGTATACTATGCTTCGCATAACTAACACCTGATGTCCTCTACAAAGGACACACAATAAAACAAAAATAAAAATATATTTTTCTAGTTTTCGTTAGTCATTATGTTTATACCACCCTAAAGACTTGTGTGATAAAAAAAAGGACATTTGAAACCTTTTTCTTTCTGGGTCTCAGGAGGATATAGAGTAGCCTGGAGCACTTTTACAAATGTGTATTAAGCACAAACATTACATTTACTAACTGTAAAACGTAGTGAAAGGTGCTCCAATTAACATTGACTTAAGTCATTAAACCTTACAAATCGTAAGTCTTTCCCATAACTTTCTCAAACTAATCCCTCATTGGATAAACAAAGGTGTGCTGCCTCAGCTAGCCCAACAGCTGACTGCACTCACACATAGCTACAAACAGCTAGCATTGCCGCACACAGCTAGCGAGTGACGCACGTTTAAAAAACCTCCACGTCATTAAACCTCCAAACTCACCCAAAATATCAGGTTGAGAAAGACCAGGACGGTCTTTGACGAGGTAATGCCGCACTGTCCCATCTTCAGCATGGGGGTTGAAAGCAGTACGTGTTGGAAATGACCGCAGGTTTCTACTCTGACATGTCCCGGGCAGCTGCACCGCTCATTCCAGCGCTGTATCACTGGATCGGCCTGCGCCGGTGCGGAGACGCAAGCAGTGTCACCGCTCTTTATACATCCACGAGTGCCATTATACAATCAAACAAACAATACAAACAATACAATACAAACAGTAAAGAAATTTGGGGAAATGTCTTGTTCATAAAAAGAAATGAGCTGACTCCAAACCAAATTTTGAACAATTTTACCAATAATTAAAACAATATAGTAGCACTATTAAAAACCTTTTGAATAAAAAGGTAATCAAAACGAATTGTGTATTTAACAAATATTTAATTTTAAATATGAAAATGTATGTCTTTTTTGTTTGTATTTGTTTATTAATTTGATGTCATTTTTTATCACTTTATATGTCTACCCCTGATGTCCACTTTTTTTGTACACAAAATGTATAATGTTTAAATATGTTCTTGAATAAATAAAGGAAACAAATCATGTACAGTAGTTTCGTCTTGTCAACTTATACAATACTATTGATGAGAACTATTAAAGAAAAAATGATCTAACCCTTTGAACTGGCAATTGGAGAACTTCCACCACTTCTGACATCTAGTGGTGGAAAAATATAATGCCATTTGCACCTGCTTTCCCTTATACATAAAACATTTTAAGTATCAGTATCATCAGTATCACCGCTAAGAGATCACTGGTCTGATTACATGAATTCGAAAATAAATGTGATTTGGGTGTCAGCGGATAGGCATAAGGTGATTTATAGTTCAAAAAGGAAAAAAGTTACTCACTAAATATCATGACTGTATGTGGGTATTGTTTGGATTTACATAAAACTTGAATAAATCATTGATAAATATAACTTACAAATATGCATATAACTTGAATATCAATAGCCCCACCGGATTTAAGAACAATTAAAAATTGAAATAGTCTAAAGATACTGCCCCTTTTGCCAAAAACAAACAAACATTGCAGTCGCTTTTCTGTTAACTGGTTCAGGAAAGTAAAACAAATGAGACGAAGGTTCACAGACTGTTTAGACACTATATTGTGCACATAGTTCAAATGATTATGTAAAGATTTTTCAAAATACAATACAGTGACACGCCTCCTTTTCATTGCAAGGTAAAATGTAGATTAATTTTAAAGTCTAATTCTTCACATTTGACCATCCACATGGTTTGGAAAAAACAAACAGACATATGAAAGCTTAGGTCTCTATCACTAGCTGCTACCAATAGTAAAGCAGTTTACTTTATAGCAGTAGAGAAGCTGAAATCAGCATGCGTACCAAATATCCTATCCCAGTGACTAAAGTGAGGTGCGAAATTGGTGTTGGGTTTCTGATGGTGCACATCATGTTTGCTGGGCCCTCCATAAATGCCGAACGGTATAAGGTGGGATGTGGACCAAGGGAAATCATAGCCACAGTGATCCTCAATCGAAACGTAGACATGCACAACCATGAAGACCCATGTAGTGAGCATGTGGCTTCTCAGGATCACAGGATTCAGAGTGGTCCAAAAGCCCACTGTGACCAGCTTCCAGCCACCCAGGCACTGAGCAAAGGGAGATGAGTATTCATGATGGATTGCATGGAAAGTTGCATACAGCCAGTGGATCCTGTGATGGAGCAGGTGCCAGATGAAGTATTGGAAGTGAGCAGGAGGTTGCTTATCAACCCAGCAATTAGCTCCAGCAGGGAGGGAGCCTGTTCTGGCAGATCAACAGGGGGCCTCCATGTCCACTGGGCCACTGATGCTGGGAGCACAATAAACACATGGTTGTACAAGGTGACCCCTGCACAGTGCAGCAGTGTAGAGGCTGTAGGACGACGGCTAGGTTGGATCTTGAATTGCTGGACCCAGGCCCATCTTTCTCCCATGATGTCACAAACAAGAAAAGGAATGCACAGGACAAAGTAGGAAGACACAGTCAGAACAATAGGAAACAGAGGAGATCTCAAGTAATCTGTGTAATTAAGTCTTATGCTATCCCATAGAGGCTGGAGCAAAGAGTCGTTTCCTAGGCATCTTATCCAAAGATCTACGCTGGTGTCTGCAACGTCCATCCTGAAGTAGGAATCACTAAGTGAATATCCTATAAATGTCTGAGGAATGTCGATGTTCCAGACAGAAACAGCAACAATGGGTAAAGACTTTGTCCCCATCGGTGTCTGCTTGACTCTCATGCTATCAAGTGACAACCGGGTGCAACATTTCAACAAACTATTCATACTCCCTGGGTGACTGGTAACGTATAGCTCCTTATACATTTTTCAGTAAGGGGAGTATTATTAAAATCCAATTGTATCTTTCTTAGTGCCAAATCTCTGCTCAAGTGGAGTTTATTTATCCTTTTACAATACACACTGGAATTATCACATTACACTTAGTTGGAACAAACAAAGGAAAGATCAGAAAAGAGACACACAAATCACACTTTGAATATCACCAGAATAATAACATTACACAAAATAAGCATAAAAATATATAGAATTTATATTATATGTAGTTCCTATTTGTTTGGTCCAGTTAAAAGTACTATGTATTGCACTACATATTTTACCAGCAAAACTATTTTATGCAAACCAAGTATACAATCTGGACAATATTTAATGTCAAATGTAAAAACATATTAATATCAATGTATGAAAAATAGGAGATAAATGCTATGAAACGACTTAAGAATAAATCGGCTTAAACACATGTCTTAGAATAGCTATGTTATGGTGTAATTGTGTTCCACAAGAATGAACTTTGCACCTCAGCCTTTAAGCCAACATATGTGTTAAGTCGGTTTGTGCTTTGCAAATTAATCTATTTCCTATAAAGATCATGCAAGATGATTGAAAACTCCAGAACAGCTAAATAGATCCAAAGGAACAATTGTCAAGACCTGTAGGAAGATCATGGGAGTGTGGCAGTCTGATCTGTGCCACCGGTTTACCTGACCAGGCTGACAGCGAACCGGACTCTGCCTGGATACATCTTATTATGTCATGTTATCTCAAAGATTTGCAAAATACATTCTATATATTGATGGATGTTCATCATGGGCTTATGCTGTAGTCTCTGCTTTGTAATTCTGTCTGTTTTTTTCTACAATTTGTCATATTGTTTAATATGCTGTAGGCCTACTACAAATTCCCCCTTGAGGGAATAATATAGTTGTCTTAGTCTAAAGTCTAAATGCTGGTGACTCAGCAGCTGTGCCAATGGAGTCAAGAATGAACTTTAACCCTCTTCAAACTTCACCCACTTAATTTTACATTCCCAAACTGTAGAGGGCGACAAAACAAATGCATATGCGCTTTTTAACAGAGGACATTTCCGGGGAGCTTGTAAACATATTTCTCTTACATATATATATATATATATATATATATATATATATATATATATATATATATATATTCTCATTACATATACTTTTCTATATAATATATAAACGAGCAGCAAATTGTTTCCCCAATCGATTCGGAGTCATTTTTGTCGCACTTTCTCTTTACACATCCATGACGTAATTACGTATACAACTTCCTGTATCACTTGAATGTGCAGTCACTTGACAGTTAGCAGGTAAGGCGACTTTAAAACGTTATTTCTTTAACCCTTGGTCTTATTTCACTGAATAAACGTAAACGCAGATCCTCTTGTGTATTTAAAGTAATTTTACCTTAGCTAGCTAAGCTATTTTAAACAATAAAGGAGAATGCCTAAATCCTACTATGTTGTTATGAGAGTAGGCTACTTGAACCCAATTTAAAACGTATCGGCGATTCTAGATTTATAGATATTATACATAATTCCCTTAGAGATTGTCAATAAATTACACTTTAATGTTATCTTAAATACCTCCATGATTACTTTCCCATATTAGTGAAAATTATGCTTAAAAAAGTATAACGGCACACCTCATTTTGATTAGTGATGATAGATACATTGTATAACTACACTGGACAAATGTGTCTTGATTTTAAATCTATATATTTATTATATATATATAATTAATGTGAAGAAATTATATATGTATATATTTTTAATTATTATTAACTTTTGTTTTGCTTTTGAATCATGTTATGTAATGACTCCAGCATTGTTATACTACACTCGACAAGTACAACGTGGCTCTTTTTCTTGGATTGTATTGCTATAAGGATTCTGCAAGTAGCTACTAATATTTTAAGGAAAATTCAGATTTTCTTTGGAAAGTTTCACATTCTTTCCTATTACTTCCATGATATTAAGACCGAGTGACTCCAAATCCATAACATGTATTTATTTATATATAGTGTTTACATGTAAAGAAGTAGATATATGTGATAATCTGTGTTTATGCTATTCACAGGTGATAACAATGAAGGAGAACGGTGAGGAAGATTTGGGTGATTCAGCGCCTGCGCTTAATACACAGCCGATCTGTCGCTTCTTTTCTCAAGGAAGACAATGCAATTATGGGAAGAAATGCAGATTCCAACATATAAGAGATGATGTCAAAGCTCATGAGAAGAAAACCATCAGGACACCCAGCCAGTCAGATGTCACCTCTCTAAACTCTGACGTCCCTGGACATTTGGGGCAGAGGCCTGCTCCGAATAGTAACTCCAGGGTTGGTCCGGCCTCTGTCCGCCGTCCCTGTCGCTACTTTATCTCAGGCCACTGCAGCATGGAAGACAGGTGTCGCTTCTGGCATCCTCCACAGTTTCCTCAAGAGGATGACCAGCCTGTTTCTGGTAATTACCCAAGACCTGCGCAGAGGATGCCACCCGTACCCCGTCCAGGCATTCTCCAGGAGGTCAAGCTTTGTGACCTTACAGAGGATGTGACCAAGCAGCTACGAGACACAGAGATCAATCAGTTAAAGAAGCGATTTCCCAAAGAACAGCTGATTATTCAGGAACGAAGTGATGGCATGCTTACCTATTACAGGGCGACTGTAGAGGCTACTGATCCAGACTGGGTAAGCTTTCTCTTTCACCTACTTTTTCCTCTCTCCCCTGAAAGCTTAGAGCAAAAACCCCACCTGCACTTTACTTCTATAATACAGTACAGCTCCGTTTTAATTAGTTGAACAAAACGTCTTGTGAGGGAGAATGTATTTAGAAAAAAAGTTCTAAATCCTCAGCATTAACACCAAATCAAGAACCATTCCTGCTATACTGGAACATCTCCAATGGCAACTTTACTTAGCAAGTGTAATTGGCAATACGTACTGAACAGCATGTGCAATTAAACTGCACAAATGAGATTGAATTAAGCCTATTCAGTAAATCTCTGATTAAACTATTTGGACTAATTTCAAAATAAATAATTTAGAAAGATATATTTGCTTTTCCACAATTATCTTATGGTGTTTCTTAGCCACTGACAACCATAACACGTTAAACATTAAATACATAAATGAAAGAAAACAGTATTCTTTATTGTATTAACTCTTTGTTTAATGTATAGCCTTTTGATCTGAAAGCAGTCGACATCATGGTCAGCTTCCCGGAAAGTTACCCCCAGGAGGTAAGGACCACTGCTTACTTTTACAGACTTTGTAATACTGTATACTGTAAATGGTTGTCATGAAAAGAACACTTCCTCATCACTTTGATAAATTCTTTTAGATTTTCACATTGGACATACCGTTGGATCAAGAGCTGCCCCTAATCATGTCAAGGTACAGCAAGTACAGTTTGTTTAAATATTTAACATACAGAGTGATTGGTGTTGACATGTACACACATCCCTGTCTACATAGGCATGTACAGCAAGCATCACTGCAGTGGCTTCAAGCTAAGCATGCAACCAACCAGCTGATGGGAAAGGTAGAGCTGCTCTTCCGGCCTTTTCTTCGCTGGCTGGATCGTAGTTTGGAGAGATTGTTCACTGAGGGAGCCCGGCAGGTGAGACCCGCATTAACAGGAGATTGGACATTTTGTGTTTTCCCTTTCAATGTACCCAAAGAACCTGTAGATAACTATTTCCTTCATGTAATGCATTTTCTTGAATGTTTTGGCAGTTGAAGAAAGACGTTGATTTAGAAAAAGCTGGATTGCAGTTCATATCGTACCAGGAGCTCCAGGCAACAGTGTGTGAAAGATCTGGGAACGATTCATCTGACACCGCTGCTGCAGATGAGGATGTCAGTGAGGAAGGAAAGCTGGAATACACAGAGGGGGAGAAAACTGAGGAGGGAGGAATAATGGGTCAGCAGGAAGGCTCAGGTTGTGATAGAGGGCAGCAGCAGGAGGAAGAGGAAGCCGGGCGCCTGGTGGAGAACATTAAGATCAGTGATCCCCGCAGAGGCACCGAGGTGAAGCTGCTGGGACTGATGCTGGGCGAGAACACAGCCACCGTAGTGGCCCATCAAATCACCGTTTGTCTTCAATGTAACAGGCAAGAACAAAGAGCTGAATGTCACATCCATATTACAAACTTTTTAATGAGAATAACACACAATTGATAGCTGATAAACAGTCTGCAACTTACAAATTATATATATCTAATGTATAATATTCCAATTACTTGTATATAGACTCTCCTTGCACTATTTTTATTCAATTTTATTTGTATTACTTCCACTATTTTCACTATTTTGTCTGTGTTATTACGTTGCACCGTTGGAGGAGCCTGTGACCTAAGATTGTCATTGACATCTCCACTGTTGAATTGAATTGAATCTTGAAATCTTGACTGTTTGTGTGCTGTCTGCAGGTGTAAGGTAACTGCAGACCTGACCCTGACTGGAAGGAACCCCTGCACGGCTCAGTGTGAAAAGTGCAGTGCTAGCATCAATGCTGCATTCAGGCCCTGCATGCTGCACCATTACAGCGATGTCCTGGGGTACCTGGACCTCCACAATGCTGCGCCTGTTGACCTTGTGCTACAGGACTGTGATCTCATAGTGGGATGCCTCAGCTGCTCCCAGGAGAGCCCCGTGCAGGTGATGGAACATACAAGCACCATTTTTGAAAAATGTCTTGATAAGCTATGACTTCTCTGAAATGGCTTTTTTTGTTTTTCCATTCCATCAGAATGTATGCTATGGTCAAACAAAGGAGTCCAATTGTGAACACTGCCACTGTAAACTCAGTATTCTGGCAGAGAGCACAAGATTCCAGTATATCCAGCCACGCACCAACAAAACAGGTCAGCGCTCCACTACACTATTAAAGGGATCAGCTAAGGTTTAAGATCTTACAACAAGTAACTAGCACAGTTGGCTCTCTTTCAAATATTTCGTAATGTTGTGCCAGATAACAGCAAACCTTTAAATCTGAGCTTTATACATATGTAATAACGTATACCTGCAGACCACCAATGAAAATATAATGTTTATTTATTCCCTTTGTGTAGGTTTGAGTTCTGGTCCTGTTTATAATAAGACGATAAGAGATCCTGCTGTGCAGAAAGGGAAGCCGCTGCCAGAAAAAGGATCATGCAAACATTACAAACAGAGCCATCGCTGGCTAAGGTATCATCCTAACTGTGTCCCATCTAATTTCACATCAAACCTCTAAAAGAAAATGCATAGTATGTTGAAAGCTTTGTGCCCCTGACTGTGCACTCAGGTTTCCATGCTGCGGACGGGCTTACCCCTGTGATGGTTGCCATGATGAGGACCAGGACCACCCTATGGAACTAGCCACCAGAATGATCTGTGGCTACTGTGCCAAAGAACAGGTGACCTGTAACCACTGAGATACGATAAGACTTTATTTTTGCAGAGGGAAATTACTGAAATAGTTTATACGGCTAGACTCAGTTCACTGACAAGAAAACAGCCCAGTCTAATATCCTAGGTCACCAACCTTCAAGGCATCACTAGAAAAGAGCATAACAGTCAGTGTCTGAAAACATGAATGCATAAGGCTCTGAATTTCATTTCATTTGACATAATTTGTCTGTTGTAGCCGTACGGCAATGGAAAGCCGTGCAGCAGCTGTGGAAGCATGATGACGAGAGGCACACGCACCACCCACTGGGAGGGAGGACTGGGCTGCAGAAGCAAAGTTAAAATGAGCAGGTAAATGTATCTAACAACACTAAGGTCCACATTTCTCAATATTGTTATTATTACTGAAAACACAACGGTAGCAGTAGTTTTAACTGTTCAAAAAGAGTGTTTATTTCAGTGGTTTAATTTGGCTTTTTTTTTCTTTTCAGAAATGATCGACATAAATATGCCAACACCAACAAAACGATTTCAAGGAAAGCTGTCAGTGTGAAGAAGTAGTTGTGAAGAAGAGCATTTCCGCATTGATTTGTGAAAATATATTATTACATGCATGATTTCAATGAAATGGTTGTGAATTGTCCCCAATAAATCATGTTGATGATCATTCAGTGTGGTTGTGAGAAGTGTTCATATTTCTTCGTCTGCATGGACTTGTGAGTTTGTATCAAATCAGGAACATTTTCAAGGTTTAACTGTTATTTACGTTTAACATATAAGATTAACATAATAAGTACTAAATAAATGCCTGTAGGCAAAATATCCAGATTACAAGGTGTCTTAAAAGATAACAAGATCAATTCTAGTAGTTCAGCGTTCTGATTTACCTGTCCTGGTTGATACTTTTATAATATGAGGATTGACAGTGCAAGAGATAGATGCTGATTTAAGTTATTAAAGTTGTGTCACACCATTTCATGATGCATGAGCTTAAGGTTTCAAGGAGTTAAGTGCTACGCTAAGCTTTCCTTAGTGTTGACACATACCATTACATACCTGTGTTTACTTTAAACACTTTAAATAAGCAGTTCTGTCATTTCATTTTAAAATGCTGAGAAATGTCTGTAAAACCAAACGAGCCAATTCTGCAAATCAGATTAGAAACAAAACTATTGGGTCAAATTTCACTTTTTCAAGAAAAGTCTTTGTCCTCCTTCCTTCCATGCGTCAAACGTTGTGCCGGTTTAACAGTTTAGAGCTTTTGTTAATCTTCGAGTGAAGGTCTGTTGATATTGAGCTGCTAGTGGGGGCGAAGGCTACTGGTATATGCTTTAAACTGACTGATCCCCTTCCGTTGACCTTCACTATAAAAATGGCAGTAACTCTGTTGATCCTGAGCCTGGCCTCAGCAGCCTTCAGTGGTACCACAGCAACATGTTGAACATCAGTGAGATGCTGCTCCAGCCCCATCAGGGCGACCGTGTTCTGCAGCCACTCTGGAATTATTTGCTTTTCCGACATCTGCCTCTCATCTCTTCTCCATTTTTCCCTGTCCTGCTCGCCGCCTCCTGCTATTTCATCTGCAGCATACCTTTTGCTGCACTGGACCTCTTGGGAGAAAGAGTGCCTTTGTTCTATCAGTACAAGATCCAAGCAGGCAGGCAGCCAACAGTGGGAATGATGCTCAAGAGCTTAATGACAGCGCTTTATAACCACATATTCTTTGTTCTGCCAGCTGTAATAATGACCATGTGCATACTGCCTACACCAATACTGCCCCAGGATGCTCCTACCCTGTATGAGGTATTCATTGACGGACTGGCAATACTTCTCCTTTTTGACACACAGTACTACATTTGGCATTTCGTACATCACAAGCAACCGCAGCTTTACAGGTGGATTCATTCAGTCCACCATGAATACATGGCACCTTTCTCGTGGTCCACTGAGCACCTTAGCCCCTCAGAACTGATGACAGTCGGACTCTGGAGCAACCAGGACCCCCTTATTCTGAAATGCCACCCATTGACCGCATGGTGTGTCACAGTTTTCAGTATCTGGATGTCTGTGGAGGACCACATAGGCTATGACCTGCCATGGAGTCTCAACCACCTCGTGCCTTTTGGTCTGCTGGGGGGGGCACCGGCTCACGACATGCACCACCAGAAGCCGAACAGCAACTACGCTCCTTTCTTCAGCCACTGGGACAGACTCTTTGGCACCGCTGTTGCTTTGGAGAAAAAGACTCTGAAAGTTCTGTAAATAATGCATGTTAAGTGTAACTGTATCATTCCAAAATCATTATTATATTTTTAATTACTATATATTTTACATCGCTTGCTGCTTCATGTTTGGCAATGTGAGATAAACTTTGTTTTAAAAGTTTCTTTTTTATGGCATTTCTTTCAATAAAATCAATATCTTATAATCTTGCACTTTTGTTAATATTGTTGTTGGACTGAACTCTTATATTATTTACATACTTGGAAAAAAGCTTTCCTATCATTTTCCGCCTTTAACTTGTATCACAATCTTCTTACATAATAATACACAATCATTGAGTGGGATTTCTTCCAAGAGCTTTACTCAGTAGTACTTACAGTATGCTACAAATCCGACCGCAATAAGAAGCTTTTGAAAACCAGAAAACCAAGTAATACTCGTTGAGCTTGTCACCAAGAGCTCAAGTACAGTACAAGGGGAAAACATTTGCTTACAAGGAGGAGCTAATTTTTGACTTAAATGTGGAATTCATTACAATAATAAAAATGGGATTCAAATGTAAACTAATAGGAATATTGCAAAAATGCATAAGGAGTCAATTTGGCACTTAAGCTCATAAATATAACTCGACTGAATCATTGCAAAACATCACACAAACATGCAGAGAATATTATAAAATATATTTATTTGTCCCAGAAAATGAAAAAAAGAGGCCAATGGTATAAAAATGTCAGTGAAGACTCTTATTTAAATACTGCACAAACATGTTGGAAATGTGCCCGCTGTTCTCTGTCGGGTGCATCTTGGTGTAGCTGATGAACTGCCGCCGTAATTTCCTCAGCTCTGCCATGTTGATGCTCCTGGTGAGCTCGATGTTAAACTTTAGGTCAAGGACATTTGAATACAAGTTGACGTAAAAATGGACCAAGTGACCAAAAGCTTCAGAAGAAAACACTGAAAGAACATAAACTATTGAATGTCACTGACGTCAACACAAATAATGCACCTGTCAATAAAAGTTGACCAGAGCATCACCTCATTTACTTTGAAGTTCCTTTCTGCCTTGAACAACATGTTTAAAAAAGGACAAAATCAAAGTGTTTGCTTCTTTAAAGGTCTGACACAGAGCAGCTGCCAATAAACATCCACTAATACATACCATTTGGTTTCACCCCCCCGCCCCCCCCCCCACAATACATATCCCAAAGGTGTGTTATTACAGGCGAGACCTTTAACAGTGATTGCCTGCTGTGCCTTTCATTTAAGGTTGTTTGATGGACATACATTGATCCACCTTCTCCTTCAAACAAGTAGTTTAATGTGGAGTATTTTGCCTCCTGCTGGTGAGGAAATGTGATTCCTTAGGAGGCAGATCATTAAATGAGTCACATACTGTATACACATTTCAGACAGTCATGGCTGTGAAAGATCACTGCAACATCCCACGTAAATGAGTTAAAAGGATTGACATGACATGTGTGTAAAGGGTGACTGTGGTTGCAAGAGAGTGCAGTCGTCTTTCAACCAGAAGGTTGTGGGTTCGATCCCAGCCCGTGCAGTCGACATGTAGATGTTTCCTTGGGCAAGATACTTAACCCTAAGTTGCTCCCGATGGCATGGCCAACGGTGTCTGAATGTGTATGAATGTTAGCTTCCCTAGAGCAAGTGGTACTGCTCTGCATGAATGACGTGTGAATGGGTGAATGACTCGTAGTCTGTAAAAGTGCTTTCAGGGGTTGAAAAGACCCGATAATGCGCTATATAAGTGCAGTCCATCAAAAGGATATCTTTTCTGTAGCTCCTGGAACTGGAACGAGGTCGCCGGGGACACTTGTCTTCTGTGCGTTAAAAATTGCCTGAAATTTCAAAATGACTTTCATCACAGACATTACAAACAGAAAGTAAGGGTTTTACAAATTCAGCTAGTTGGTTATTTAGGGAGTTTTAGATCATCAATAAAGGATCAGAATATTTAAATAGAGTGATGAAAAGTTCTTATAATTCATTTCATTTACAGGCATGTTGCAAAATGGTGAAAAGGGTGTACTCAATGGAAAATCAAGGGAACAGAGGAGATGATTTCTATTTGGCTAACAGTAGTTTGCAGACACACCCCATTATATAAATAGGAAGATAATTACAGGAGCAAAGGTATTTAAGAGGACACAGGCACAGTTGCCAATAACAAAGTAACCTTGATGTCACGTTTACCGTGGGAGGACACACTGCTGATTGCACATATTCAGAGATTCTGACGTCAATCAATGAGCTTCAGAAAATAGTCATGGTTTCTTCCCAATTCCCTATTCCGCGGCTTGTGATAACAGAAATGTTAATAATGCTGAAAAAACAAGTACCCGACCTGACATTTTCAGGATTAATTACCAAAGAGTACATATTTACATTCTGATGTATTGATACAAATCTTCCCAACTGCAGGGAATTACATTTGGAACTACTTTTTTGTGCTTCTTATATTGAGGTTTAACCAAGTATTTTTTCTGACTATAGCTCCACAGTCTCTTATTTTTATTTTCAATGTGTGAGTCCCACTTTGGTGATCCTAAAGTTTGATAGAGTTCTTAAGACAGAGTGGAACCAGCAAAAACAACAAATGACCAGGAAATCAAAAGAACACATAAAGACGTACCATTAAGACTTCTTGTGTGATTTTGTCCAGCTCGTACAGGAAGTTTGAAGATGACAATGGTTGCTGCAGAGAAAAATAATATCTCTATGAGCATCATAGTCAAAAAGGCAGCATGACAGACATCTATTAAATATTGTAAACATGTGTAAATAAAAAACAAGAGAAAACAGCATGGGTGTCTCTTACACTCTGTGTGGACTGGTTTGGTGGGGGTGCTTTTCTTTTGAAAAGTGCGTCAGAAATGTCTTCAAATGGAATCGTGTCGTCTTTCAGGATGGTGAAGAGAGGACTGTCCCATCGGTTTCTGGAGTCTGGAGCTTCAAATCTCAGCACTAATGCATCAAAGCTACAAAACAAACAGCAGATGTCAGGCAAAATAAAAAAACAACAATGAATGGTTTTACTTTCTGAAATGCATAGTACTCTATGTGGGGGGCTTTTCACCTACATTTCCTGTGTGTACTGCTCAGCGGCATCTCTGTTGGTATTCCACGTTGTGCTCACTTCATCTGACGTCAAACAGTATACCTTGATCAAAAGAAAGCATATGATTTTTGATTTGTGTGACTACCGTTTCAGTCATAGATGTATAGATACTTGAACAAAATAATAGTTATTTCTTTAGTATGCTTACCAGGCATTGTGGTGTCTGTGCATGTTTGATGAGACAGAACAGTTCATAGCGATAGCCTGTAAGGTATTTCGGATTTAAAGGTAAGAGCATAAACAAATAATAATGTCTCGATACTGAATCTGTAAAGCACACTACTGTTAGCTAAATGTACCTTTTATGTAATTTAGGGAATCCAAAATCACAATGTCTCCCTTGTTGACTTTCCTAAACATGTAGATAAAGATTAAAAGGTGTGCAATGGTAACACTTCAGACAAAAGACAAAAACAAAAGATAGATCTGAAAAACCTACCTCTCTACTTCAGCTTTCAGAGATGCTCTGACATTTTTCTCCTTTTGGGAATCTGCACCATATTCAAAAAGGTTTAAAAGCAGCAGGATTATGACAAAGTCCAAGGTTACTTTCTTGAATTTCTTTTTGTTTTGTGTTCTAATTTTTGCTATTTGCAACCAACATATATTTGTATGGATATGTGGTATAATCAATTAACTGCTTGTTCATTATAAAAAAGAAAAAAAGGAAAAATGCACATTCGAAGTTATCCATCACCATTTTATTTTCCTAACAGGGAAGAAGAAGCTGGCTGCTTATCTTGCTGACATTTAACAAGTGGAAACCAGTACATTTTTGAGCACTTCTTTGCTAATGCATTTATCAAAATTGTTAGGGACTAATTTTATTTTAACAGTCAACCTGTGGCAGTAATGTAATGTTATACACAAGTGTCCAAGGGATAGTGTTAATACAAGTATGTAAATTAACAAAAAACGATTATATCCATCCTCGTATGTCACAGGACTGTGATGATATTTTTGTATAATAAGATTAACTTAATGCTAGGCAAACCCTCAGTTAACAACACACAAACTCCTCAGTAGACGAAATATAAAACACGTTTCAGAAAACATATGGACTGTTTTGTGCAGTCAAAGTGAACATGTATGAAGACTTTTAAACATGACTAACACTAACAGGTACGTAATAAGCAAGTATGGCTAAATGGAGCTAACATGAGCTCAACTTGCCTGCATACACTGTGTTTTTCTCTACGCCCAGTGCTGCGTCACCTACAATGTGCACCTTTCTGTCCGTGTTCTGCTCAAAACACACCTTCAGCTCCTCTGCCCTTCGTGTTTTACCACTGCAGGGGTACCCACACATCACTATCAGAGGCATTGTGACTGTGATGATCACTACTGAGAGTTAGCAGCTAAACTAGCCTAGCCTACGATGGGACTCATGTATGGATTTCAACCGGATGTAATAGCAATACTTTCGGATGACAAGCGGAAGTCAAACATCTGTTTATTTGTACGTACCATAGTTCCAGATTGACCACTTGTGTTTTGTTTTTGTTGGTTAATAATCTTTATTTTTTCGGTTTTCTGTTCAGAATGCCCACAGTTTTATTTCTATATATGAATATTGTTTGGAAGTGCTTATGTCTTGAAATTGGAATATTCAATAAAGATTGACAAAACAACACCTGTTCTCTGACAGGATTCCTGTCCATTTTTAGCAGAAATTATACTACATTTTGAGTTTTACAGGAGGATAAGAATACTGCATACTGAACGTGATTGATGTCTTAGACTTATCAATAGTAGAGACCATTATCTAGGTAATCTTATGTATTTATAAAATAATGTAATGTAATAATCTATAATGTCTATTATTAGGTATAATTATTGTATTACTTGGCATTATGTTGTTGGACATCTATAAAAACAAAAACAAATTCTCATCCGGAATTTG